GTCTATTTCAAGAATGATCTTTCCCTTTCTGCTCAGTTTTGATGTATAACAGCAATACTTATGAAAAATAAAGAGAACAATCGAAGTTATGTATGATCATATGATTTTTTTATGTAATAAATGGATTAAAATAAATGAAAACATATGAGAATAAAACTTTCTTTTCTTCCTCGTCTTTTTATCAACGTTCACCATTTCAAGTTGAATAAATTAGTGAATTTACGTAGAGTTCGACGGCGATTCGAAGGCCACCAACATTTACCATTATCAGGTTGATTGCATCCATCAGTAGAGCAACATGTCACATCAGTAGCACCACTATTAGGGTTTTCCAACATTTTACACTCGCTTTCCGAAACCATTGAATATACCCATTTTGCAGCTTCTGTTGATCGTTCCTCTTCACTGCAAAATTCCACATTTTCTGTACATTTAAAACGAAATTTCACACATGTACATGGGTCTCCTTCAATACAATGTGTAATATCAGATGCTAATATGCATACGTCACCCAAGCCCACATTACATTCAATGGATAAAGTAGTTACAAAAAGTAAGCAAAAGACGAGAGTAAAAAGTAATCGACGGTGCATCGTGCAGTCGAAGAAAGAAATATGTTGAATAGAATATCGATTCTCAAAAAAAGAACCCAATATAATAGCTCTTTTATATATTTTATAATCCTACACATGCAGGTATGAAAAGGGGTAGTTATCGTCTCGCAACAGAATATTGCATGCTGTGTCTACACTTTGATTAATTTGTTATGATCCCTTGAATAAAAAAACTATACAATAGATTGTTATTTTTCGTATTGATATAGCGTTATAACGGTTATATCAAGACCTCGAAACTGTTTATGAAGCTACAACTTTGACAAAAAATGAGTCCAAGTAATTTGCAATTGAACTAAATACCAAATAAATATTTGTTAATTGATGATATACAAAACTTGATAGTGCAGCGTCACGAGGAGCCAAATTGTGGAACTCACAAACTCCGACTGCTGTAAATTTATGATATATTGTCAGATGTCTTAAAACGATTAAGTTTCAAAAAAAATGCTACATAAATGAACAAATAAATATTATAATAATTTTGATAATTGATACACGCGCTGTGACATTTTATCGTTCCAAAAATATTCGCATTTATAACATACTCCCAACCAATTTGTTGGATTTCTTTAACATCGTCATAGTGTGAAAACTTATTTTTATTGTCAGATAATACAATTTTAGTGCCTTCTATAATCTTGATGTTTTTTAGTCAAAAAAAAAACTTGTAACAAGCTAGAAAATGTTTCATTTTGTTGGAAATCATCAGTTCTATTATTATGGACGACTCAAACAGAATCAGATATAATTTTAAATTTTAGGAAGTAAAACACTTAATTTTTGAGTTTTTCAAAAATGCTATCCTTTGAGAAACTAGCAATCATTTTCATCTTAAAAAATTCTTGTTATTAATAAAATTGTCTGTCCAAATCGCAAAGTCGATTCTTCTGAGTGTTGACAGCAACCTAAAAAGAATGAAAATAATCCCAGATGAATAATTTTGGGAGCTACTGTATGATTCTCCCCTTTTTTCATAAATGATACATTGGATTATGTTTTCTCTTTCTCTATTTCTTCTGTGTAATAAAGTCTGCGTATGTAGTGAGGAAGGTGCAATCTTTTTTTCTACGAAAACTTGAATACAAAAAACGAACTATGTGGATTCGCAAGTATTTGTCCCAATGTAATGCAATATTTCTACGAAAAAAACTTTTCAAATAAAAGAGTACTCTGTGTACGCAAATGAGCTCAACAAAGAATCGTTAAAAAACTTAAATCACAGATGAAAGTCTCTGCTAGCATTCAAACATTCATCTTGTGATAGGTACATTCAAATCACATGAAATTTTCAACTGTACAGCGTAACATTTTCGGGACATATTTAACAACCAAGGATGAAAAAAAATGTTCATTTGGCAGCTCAAAAATTCTTTGGGGGTCTTCATTCTATATACTTCATTATTTTGGATTGAAACAGCATGTTAGAATGCAGCGCATGACAAAGCCTTCTTTTCAAGTTCTTTTTTATTAAGAGAAAAAAGGATGAAAAGTTAAGAATCTCGAAAAGCTCTTGAAAAATGACGTAGGATATCTTAGATAACGATTCGGGTATTTCCGAGCACGATTTGCAGTAAAGCCGGTTCCAACTCGACCAATGCTAGTTCCAAATAGATCTTGATGAGATCTATCGATTCCACTCCTTTCCTTCCAGAAAAACCCCATTTTACTAAAAAAAAAAACATACGAAAAAAACGAACAAAGAGAAAATCATCGCGGTTCCTTTCGCTGCCGGTTTCCATTAAACTATTCATGGTTTCAGATAGAACTCGACGAGCTCTACCGAAGGGATACCTTTTGAGCTTGATTTGGTACTCGAGTCCTTCGAAAACCAACCAAAGCCGGTCATGAAGGGGGTATTTTTCGGTATAACCGTTTCTTCGAAAATATATGTGAGTTCCACAAAAGTTCTATAAATGAGTCGATATCTAGATTATAAACTAATGAATTTCAATAATCGAACAGAAGTGTTAAAAAGAAAGAGAATACATGCCAATTTGGTTTTGGAAAATATAAGCCTGTAGGTATATAATAAGGAGATTGAAAAAGTACAGGTCGATGACCAGAGGCTTCTTTCAATACTTCGACCTACCAGCCATTGACATCCTTTATTATGACAAAGTCAATTACCGTTTCTGATTTACGCGATGTCGACTTTCCAGGGGAGACAACTTCTGCTTCTGAATACTCCAGCCATTTGTATAGCTGGTTTCCACTTGGATTATTTTTAGGAGAGTTTCAATCAAAATTCTTTGCGTTATAATCTCCAAAGAAAATAAATGCTTGACTTGTATAATTAACAAAGAGATGGAAGCATTGGTAGGAAGAGAGATGATTATAAACGACAGCTATTTTAACTTGCTCACCTGCTATAGAGATTTCTGAAACTAAAAAATTAGTTTCCTTTTCTAACAGTTTTAACTACAATTTGTTATTATATAAGATTGTTACACCTTCATAGAAATTACTACCAGGTTCAATAATATCATTATAATCAGGGAAAGAAGGAAGATTTCTTGAAGCGTCTCCAACACCAGTTAATACACATATATGAGGTCGATGGTGACCCGACAGTTGAGCTCCCGACAACTGAGCCTCATATCAAGAAAAAAGTAAAGTAACAGAACAAGATAATTTTATTTGAATGAGAGTGTGGGTGTTCCCTTTATGTACACCCACATCCACACCCTCTTCCGGAGTTGGTGCGTGTATATGATCTGTTACTTTAACATATTGTGTACCATCAAAACATACATGACCAGCACAATTGTTTTTGTAACAACGCCAAATTGATTGAGATTTATTAGCACGTCGATAGCGAAACCCATCCAGCAAAAGCTGATCCTTGTTTCTAGAAGATTTTACAATTGACATTATACAACAATTATATAGCACGGGAATTAATAATGAAGATTAAATGAATTTCTACAAAATA